AAGGCTGGACTTTATTATCATGGGGGATGGTTGTATAAAATATTAAAAGTCGTACGCTGTGATGCTATTGTATTCGCAAAATTTTGTGATTTCAAATTTTCTAAAAGTTCCTTGGAGTTTTACGTAATCACCTCTGATGAACACCACTTCTCGAATATGTTGTTGTACAGTAATCCCGAAGTTTCTCACACACACACACACACACTTACGTGTACAACCGCAATTCTCACTACACGAGGTTTTACACCTGAAAGTCACTACACTATGTTCAAGCAATGTTAACAAGATAAACAGACCATAACTGTGATTCTATGGGTCTTTGTATATGCAAATGAGGTTCAGAAAGATGAAAATTCAAATAATGAAAAAATGATTTTTCACCTAAAAGTCACTACATTTGGTCACGTGATTTTGCTCAATCACACACCGGAAGTTGACAAGTCACTACATGGCTTTACCAGGACACACACAGGAAACTCAGTACATAAACACTCTTGTAAGATATTATACAAGAAAATCACTACATTCAGTAAATTTTGAATGCGTTTCCCGTAAAAACACCAATTTTTCCAAATAATTGTCGAAAATACATGACAATGTCTGCATGAAATCTGTATGCTATAGAAAAAAAAATTGTCAAAGGATATCCGATAAAGTTAAAAGATAAAAAATTGGCTTTCAACATCTGTATATAGATTAAAATAAAGCAAATGAAATGAGAAGAATAAATTAACCGTCATGACAAATATTTAAAAGTATTAACGGCCAGGCACGTAACATCGTTTTTGAAAGTCGGGGGGGGGGGGGGGGGGCAGAAAATACAACTTATTACCCGAAAATCTTTGGCAAGCAAGAGAAATAGGTTAACTTCAAAAAGTCGAAAATCCTATTGGTGGGTTGAACTTTTGTGAACCCTCCAAAAAATTTCTTTACAATAAAATGACCGCATTTAAATACATAACAAAACAGTGTGTGTATGGGGGGGGGGGGGTGTTAATGAACACTTTCACAGTTAATTAAAAATAAAATTTTAAGTTTGAAAAAAGGAGGGGCCAAGCTACCCCTCCCCTCTGCTTTTACGTCGCTGACGGCAATGAATTGCCGAGTGTGCGTTGATTCAAGACTTGCTTCGTCAAGAATATTCGTTTTGTTTTTTTTTTCTGTTGCATTGAGTAAGACAAGTAGAAATTGAAAATCGTTCCCCAATTTTAAATGCAATCATTATGTTTTTTATGATCTTAAAGAGTTTATTTTTTTTCTTAACAAGAATTTTATAGGATTACAAATTACTTAACTACTGTTCATGTAATAACATCTCGTTCTTTTTTATGTGGATGACACCACAACTGGCATTCAAAGGAAAATTTACAATAGTAATATAGTATATTCAGAAAAGGGGGGGGGGGGTAGCCTCCGCGTTCTACGGACCTGAAATAAGGGGGAAAATAATGATCCCTCTTATTTATTCTTGCAATTTAATGACTTCAAAAAACTGAAATTACTTTGGTGGAGAAAGTCCACTTCATTGTTTTTTTTGCATAACATTCTATCATTTCATATTCATCATTTCATTTTCCAATTCAGCATTTAAAAATCCCATTGCTCAAATATGTTGGTCTCTAAAACCATGATTTTTTACGAAATGCAGTTCATACAGCACCCTTTAGTTTTCTTATCCCTTTGCTCAAATGTTTTACAACATTTTGAAAGATCAAACAAAAAAGACGGTTTGTTTGCATGAAACAATTTAATTGCATCAACTATACAAAAAAGTACATAAAAAGAAGGCTGGCATGAAATAAGATACACATGTATAAGCCAAGTGTTAATAGATAATTCTTGCTGTTAATTTTTAGGGTATCCAAAATAAGTTTATTTTCACAGAACAACCAAGGACAATCAGTCAGTATTTGTGCAAAATATAGTGGCATTTTCTTAGTGCATTAAACAACATACAAGTTTCGAAATAAAAAAAAAAACTCTTTAAGCTTAAAGCTGACAACCAAGCAAGAAATATAAATATCATGCAGTTAATAACTTCCTGTGTTTAAAATGCAACAAAAGGCCCTACGCTTTGACTATTACCTGAGTATTATGAATTTCTCAGGCTGTGGTCATTTCAAAACCGCCTGGATCTAGAAATCTAGACCCATGCAACAAAAATCGTAAATTTTCACAAGAATTCTATATTTATTATCATATTGATGCAGCTGAACTCCTAGAAGTTCAAAAGTAAAGAGGATAAGGTATACTGGCTAATACTGTATAAAACATTCTAATTTATGACTAACTCTGCCTTTTCATGGGCCTGAAACATGAAGAAGCCTTCAATTAGAGGGCTAAGCATTAATTAAGATTAATTTTAGAGGTCCATGTTTGCTCTGCTACGAATATGGATTATTCTAATGGACTTTTGAGTTTGATTACTATTCATAATCTTCATATTTAATTTTATGCCTGCTAGTTTGCCTAACAGATGTTCACCAGTAAAGGATTTTTTAAAACTTCAATTTACAGCCCATAGCAAGGGTTTCAAAAGTAGGGGGGACTTCAAAAAATATCCGACAAGCAAAAAAAAAACATTATTTACTGAACCGACCTTATTGCAACAAAAAGGGGGGGGGGGGAGGGGCAACCAGGATATAAAGGATACTTTACTATAGCAAAATACTATACTCAGAAAAAGTGAGGGGGGGGGGGGGGGTTCTATGGGCCTGTTGCAGTGTCAATATAAATAGGTAAACCTTGCATGAACAATGGGTCATGAGCGATAAATTTCACAAATTTTGGTTAAAAAATAATTACTTGCTTAAATTATGCAAACAGCTGTCTGCTACATGTCCATGAAAAAAAATTTATAGGATATATTTTTTCAATATTCAGCTCCATCCTGAACCTATATGCAAAAATGAATCTCACAATTTTTTGTACTTAAAGAGCTATGGGCTTATATGATATGCATACCATCAACTGCCTGCTGGCAAAACTTCTCACAAAAGAGACATGAATGTTTTTTATTATCATAGTTCCCAGACGATGTTTTTGGCCTCTAAAAACCTGGTCTTTCGCTTCTCTGACTGTGGTAAAACTTTGCCGACATCATCATGATCATCTTCACATTCACTGTCCTTTTCGCTGTCACTTGCAAGTGCAGCTTGTTTCTGCTGCATTTCAGATTTGAGAGGCTTACTGGGCATATCTGAAATTATTATATATGTACATGTATTGACAAAAGGGATTCATCTTTATTTTTATAGAAGAGGCCAATGGGCCACATGGCTCACCCAAGTCACAATGGCCCTGCACATCCCCCCCCCCATATATCCCTATGTAAAGCTTTGATTGCCTATTATGGCCTCATCTTACCCATTCAAACCTAATGAAGAGGTATGAAAGTTGTTTTTCCATACTTCAATCTGTTAGGCATGATTGAAACACTCTATGTAAGCTCCTTATGGAGATATTTATAATCTTTAATGCTGGCTAATGAACATCATGTTAATGTGATGCAAAGGAAAGTAATTTATTTAAAATGAATTTTGTCAATTTATCAGACTGTGATCATGTCTGGAGAAAAAAACAACTTATGGAATTAATCCTTAACTGTAATAAAGAAACAGTCATACTTAAAATTCAAGACAGAAATTCTGCCAGAATTTTAATTCACTTTAAACAATCTACATATTGTACAATGTAATACATAACACCTTATACAAGAGGCCCATGGTCCATGACACCTGAGCCCTTTTGCAAGAGAAAAGCAGAAATCAGTTCAGTATTGGAAAGTTTGAGTAATTATACAATTGGTGCCACCCTATGCCCTGTGGGTGATGATTTGAACAAACCTGAAACTACTTCTCCCATCCTACCCCTTGATGTTACGATTTGAATAAATGTGAATGTACACTACCTGAAAAATACTCCTGTATTAATATAACAAATCATGGCTTTGCTGTTCTTGAGAAGAAGGCCTTTAAAGACATTTTCTATATAATTCCATGTAAAAGTCTTATGCCCCATTGTGTCCCCACCCTTCTGCCAGGGGTCATTAGTTGATAAAACTTCAAGCTACATTACCTGAGTATGCTTCTGTATTAATATGACTTGTCATGGCTTTGCTGTTCTGGAGAATAATTTTTCTGGCCCACTCAGACCTGTTTAACTTTTCTAACTGATGTCAGTATTCTAGAAGTTGTCAGTATTTTGAGCAGTTTGTCAGTAAAAATGCAACTCAGCTTATTAGACATTTTTATATGAAGAACCCCTTGTTATACAAATACTAAGCACTAACTATGCAAGTCACCGTATGCTGTCTACTGTTGCTTACATATTTTACATTTGCCGTAATTATATTGTTTTTAGATCATTTTTGATAAGACCACTTCAATCAACAAGCTTCTTTATCAAACTGATTGGCAAATTTCGGGAACGACTCTGATTTTTTCCGTCTTTAGGGAAAATCTGTACATTTTCAACGTGAATCTGTACAGCACTTTTTTACTCGAAGATTCATGGAAAATACTAAAAAGCTGTACAAGTAAACAACTCTGCCCATTGTTTCTGGAGAAGATTTTTTTAAAGATGCCATCAAATTTGCACTTATTTTTGATTATATCCCCTTAAAATAGGGTGATGCCTTTCATGTGAACAAACTTGAATCCCCCACCGAAGAATACTTTGTGGCAAGTTTGGTTGAAATTGACGCAGTGGTTCTTGAGAAGGAGCTGAAAATTTGAAACAACAGTGACGCTGGAGATGGACAATGGACAAACTTTGATCAGAAAAGCTTACTTGAGCTTAAGAAAGTTCTGTTTTCAGCTTTATTACCAAGATCATTAATGGTATCTTCATCACAGCTTTTTTCATCGCTTGAAGGATGGTATGATTCATCATCATTACCATCATCATACTCGTCTGCTTCATCACTTAAAAGTGGCCCTGTATCATGTCCTATTTAAAATTATAAAAAAGAAATTATCATTTTAAGACTGTTCATTTTTATGGGGTTAACTTTTAATTTGTAACATCCAAACAACATCATAAATATAGATTACCATTCTCATTGACAACATCATGACTGCTGCTTTCATTTACAAATGATTGGTGTGATTCCTCATCCTGCTCAATTGCAAAAGACTCTGTCAAAACATTCAAATTAGATATTAAATTGGAAAATAACACTTTTCTTAATAAGTAAGATTCAAATTTATGAATACAATAGGGGTTATCTATTTTTTTCTTTTTGCCTTTACTACGCATGCAAAGAAGAGTCCCATGGGCTACAACATTTCCCATGTAAAAGAAGCTTTTCTTAATCTTTATAAAGAGTTTTTCTCCTTAATTTTCTCATGCAAAATTGTGAACTCATATTATGACCCTATCCTAACTCTAAAGGGTCTCTGAATCCACTATCCCCCCTTTTGTGGTCCAGTTGTTCTTAAGAGGATTTGTAAAGATTTTAACCAGTACATAAATGTATGTATATATTTCAAGGTAAATCTTTGATCCCCTATTGTGGCCCCATCTACCTCAAAGGCCATTTTTTGAACAATTTAAAATCTTTATTACATCAGGAAGCTTTCACATAAATTTCAGCTCCTGATCAGTAAAGTGAGAGTATTATGGGCTTTGAGAAGAAAATACATATTATGGTTTAATTTGACCTCCAAATCTTTTTTTCTAGTACCATAATAGTGTACGATACATTTATTAACTTGACAACATACCAATCTTCTCCTGGATTTTGTATGCTGGTGAGCACAGACTGGGCTCACAGTTTCCAGCAAAGTTATCAGCTGTAACTCTAAACTCCCACTCTGAGTCCTGAGGAAGATCAGTGACAGTAAAGAGGGGTCAGTGCAGGGGTACTCATTTCTCTGTTCCCTTAAACCTCTCTTCTACAAGGTAGTCTACAAAGATAATCAATATTATCAACTGCTACAGTGTTTATGTGGTTTTGAACAGAGATCAACATTTCCCTTTTTTTATTCTACTTTTAAATTAGTACCTGTAATTTTACAGCCACCATTATGTTTAGGTGGTTCCCATTTCAGATAAGTTATAGAATTGTTGACAGCCTCTGGTACACCAGGTGGCAAAACCTTGGCTAAAATAAAAGTTTAAAAACGTGAAAGAAAAAATAATCGAAAATAAAGTACAATATGGTAATTGTTTTTTAAAATGTTATAATTTTTTTCATATATACTTACTGTATTTGGGCTTGGGAGTTATGGGACCAATCACATCACTAGACTCACTAATTTAAAAACCTTCAAGATTCTTGGCCTGTATGTGGAAGTTGTATTCCTTGTCCTTTTTTAATCCCTTCACTGATGAAAAAACTCTCAAATTCAAGTTTTGTAAACAAAACAAATTTCAAGAATCACTTTTGTAAAACATCTTTTCACAGTTTTCAGCCATAATATACTAATTACATGCAACAAAAGGACATGTAAATCCACTTACTAGTTCATAAGAAAGATACATGTGTCAACAAGTAATCAGTTACTCACCCTCATAAACACACTCATCTACTGGGTATTCATTAGCCTGCCTCCAGTGGTGGGGTCTTCGTATTCTATGACATATCCTATAATCTTCTTAAAACCATCATTTCTTGGTTTAGTCCAAGAGAGAGATTGACAAAATCTTCATCAATGTCGAAAACACTTGGATGTCCAGGAGGATCACAACAAGCTGAGGGAAACATTTAATATTTTCAAAATTTTTCAACCCAGTTCATCATGCAAGCACAAAGACATTCTTTTAATTGTATACACCAATCAATGCTCGAATCTTAACATATCCCTTCATATTGAAACGAAGTCTTAAAGTTTGGAATTCATTTGATATCTAACAATTCATGTTCAACAGAATTATCACTTCACTTCAGCTTAGCTTCAGGGGAGAGATCAAAATTCATACACATCTACAAAAACTAATCAATCACCTGAAAATGAATTTCTTTGGCTACCACTTAAATATTTAGATGACTTGCAAAATAAAGTGGACAGACAGGACAGTATATATAGCTTGAACGAATAGGGATATACTAAAATACTTAACTAAATGTGCATTCTCAACCAAATTTGTGCACAGTGCACTATTCAAAGAATGTCCATACAAAGTAGTCAAAATACCAATCCCAAAGATCTTGAACTTAGCATTTTACAATTTTTTCCTCATAAAAATAGATGAATTCAAAATTTGATGAAAAATATTAATGCTCTCAAACTAGGAATAATTAACATTTTTGGTGGAATGGCTCTGTTCAATGGTACCAGTTATGGAAGAAAAAAAATGCTGTTGTTTATTCTTTATCACAAAACACATTGTATTTAAAAAAAAAATTCATTTCTTTTTTATTTTAAACATTTTTTCCTTTATATTCCCACAAAAAACTTTAATCCACTATTGTTGTGCCACTCTACGGGTACCTCTAGGAACCATGATTGAGAAAAAAATTGTACAGCACTTTCTGAGGATAACAGCTAGGACATTAATATCACTAATCAATGTCCTGTTGTGACATACATTCCAATGAAAAACTTCAATCCTTCATTGTAGCCCTATCCTACCCCACTGTAGATGCACTTCATTTATTTATTTTTAATTACAAAAAGACAATTGAACAAACTACCATGTTATGACTGCATCTTATTATGACATTTTTTTTATATGTTGATGTAAAAAAAATATTGATTCCATACTGGTTCCACCTACCCCATTAAGTCAGATTTGAACATGCAAACTTGAATCTATACCATGTCAGGACACTTCCACATAAGTTTCAATGGTTTATAAAAAGGAGATTTTTATATGAATCAAATTTTCACTGTTTCATAGCTACTTCTCCTTGAAAAGTTGGTCACCATTCATTTAAACAAATTAAAATTGCTAAGTGGTTCTCCAGAAGAAGTAAAATGCTCCTGAGCTTTTGAGTAGATTTTTGTCTTAACCTATATTTCCACTTTTGCATAATGTTTTAGTTCTTACAATAAATTTGGATTCTACAATACCCATTAAAATATATTCAGTTAAAACTCCATGATTAAATTCCATACCAAAAGCATTAAGTGAGGAACTACTGTATGTGTACTTAAAAAAGCAGGCTTCATATTTTAGGGGGCCCTTGGCGCAGACAACAATGCCCTAATTCATGAATACCACTAAGAAATCATTTATAAATACAATATATGGTACAGACATTTATAGCGCTAATTCATGATGTCGCCAACACCTCAAAACCCAGTGATTTCGCTAAATTTTGAATACACTATTTTATGGACACATACAGTATATTTTGTGGCGGAAAGTTTTTTTTTTAGAAGAAAATGATCATTTCTTTCTCTTTCAAAGTATTTAAAGTATGCTAAGTTTGGATTCCTATTTTTCCATGCAGCCTACACACAGAGTTATTCTGAGCCATGAATTGTTTTATGCTGGTCCTAAATTATATATCAAATAAAATATCATGAATTCTATCATTATATTTGATAAGTATAGCAAATATATTGTGAAAATCCAGGAAAAAATAGCCGTAATTTAAATTAAGCTTAAAATTAGCACTATTTTGGTAATATCTAAAAATTAACATCACAGACCCCCACTTTTAATTTTCTTTTCTGAATATATAAAATACTTTTAACCATTCTTCTTAAATTCAGTAAAATGTCATTACTTTCAAGATATTTTATTGCTTGATAAATTTTTTAATGCCAGAAAAATATTTTCTGAGTGCAAAAAGGTCAAATAATTGAACTTGCGAAGTAATTTGAAAATTTTTTGTTGTCACAAATTTTAATACACCTATATATTCAAGGTGAAATAAGACTGTGTTTGTTCCCATAATTTATTTGAAAAAAATATTGGAGGAAAAACTTTAAAAATTGATTTATGTGTAAGACGTATTTACAGTGCAAAAAAGTCAAACTAAATGCTCAATAGCGCCAAGAGAAGCACATTAACCCCTATTATTTGTTTTGATTTTTAATTAAGCTAGGTGTGTAGATTCTAAAAATATACTTGATAAAAGATTCTCATTACTTTTGAATTTAAAATTTCAAAATTATGCTTTGTAAAGTAGAAATCTGGTGTCTGATTATAATCGATAACATTGAAACACTAGAAGCTGATTCCAAACATTGATCAAAAATGAAAATAAACCAATGCAAGGAAACTCACAACATCTGTGTGATAAATGTATACAGACAGGGAAACTCACTACATGTGGGTAAATAATGCACTCTGGCAAGGAAACTCACTACATGTCTGTTAATAATGTACTCTGGCATGGAAACTCACTACATGTGTGTTAATAATGTACTCTGGCATGGAAACTCACTACATGTGTGTAAATAATGTACTCTGGCAAGGAAACTAACTACATGTGTGCAAATAATGTACTCTGGCAAGGAAACTCACTACATGTGTATGATAATTTTAAACAGACAAGGAAACTCACTACGTGTGTGTAAATAATATACTCTGGCAAGGAAACTCACTACATATGTGTAAATAATGTACTCTGGCAAGGAAACTCACTACATGAGTGTAAATAATTTACCCTGGCAAGGAAACTCACTACATGTGTGCAAATAATGTACTTTGGCAAGGAAACTCACTACATCTGTGTAAATAATGTACTCTGGCAAGGAAACTCACTACATGTGTGTGATAATTTTAAACAGACAAGGAAACTCACTACATCTGTGTAAATAATATACTCTGGCAAGGAAACTCACTACATATGTGTAAATAATGTACTCTGGCAAGGAAACTCACTACATGTGTGTGTAAATAATATACTCTGGGAAGGAAAATCACTACGTGTGCAATTATTATCCTCTGACACGGAAATTCACTACATCTGCGTGATAAATTTTAAAGTTAAAGATAGAAACTCAAAACGTCGACACAAATACTGAGGTATGTGATTAATGCAGAGATTATTAGATACTGTACGTAGCATGAAAAAAATTGCTGGCTTCACATCAATGTTACTATGGAATGAAGGAAAAAAATATACTACATGTTTTGTCTTTGATGAAAAAAGAAAAAAAAATAAAAAAGATAGAAATAATGTTATATTGTAATATATTTCAATACAAAATTCAATATTGCAATGTATCCAAGGTATTGTAATAGGATTTTTAATTTGCAATACCTAGCACTTAACTATGAACACAATGAGTGATTTGGCAATGTTAAAACAAACTACATTTCCTTTGCAGTAAATTCATCATCAACTTGTTCCTACTATGGATAAATTATATATGGCTCAACTAGTATTATAAACAATGAAAGTATATCCCTGAATAGAAAATAGCAAAATTTATATTTTTTTCCCTAAAAATGTATGTCTGTAACATGAATATATTTCATTCAGAATGAAAGTAATAATAAAGAAATAATCCTTGAAATATTATGTTTTTTACATTATGTCAAAAATCTTGACGCGAGCCCATTGCAGAGGTCTGAGAGAGGAACGAACGACTACTCTGCATAGGAGATTGGTAAACAGCAACCCCCCCCCCCCCCCCCCCCCGCCAAACAAACAAACAAACAAACAAACAAAACAAAAAACACGATATAATATCTAATCATAATATTTAACCTCCTGGGGTAGTGAACTCTATAAAACATGTTTAGTAGACTTATCTATAATGCATATCATAGAAGAAATATGGAATCAAAATAATCATCCCAAATTAAACATACATGTATTAGACCATTAGAGAGAATCTAGGTATGTCACTCCAGTTTGTTTACTTTGTACCCCATTGGTTTTTCTGAGTTGAAATCATGTTTTTATTTCAAAATGAAATGCCATTTCACATTCTTTTGACATATAATTCAGTTGGTCTTTAATTTGATGAAGCTTTTAAATTGGATTTGCATCTCATAAGAATCCTACAATTTATTCTCAAATACAAATCAATCAGTGTTTTGGAAAATCCTTAAGTAAAAGCAAGAGGCCACTCAATCTCATTCATAACAGTATGTCACTTCTTTTCATATCCATGCTCAATACATTTCACTCTGATTCTTATTCTTCATAATTTCAATACTTTGCCGATGCTTCATTGTGTTAGCAATGTATACCAGTTCTTCTTACTTTTATACTAATTCCAGTTCTTAACTACTGTAACATTATTTTTAAATTTGCAAATTAAATCTCTGTTACAAATATCAATTTAAATATTTTTGTTGTAGGCAACCAAGAATTCAAGTAATGTGAGAAAAACAAAATGCCAGTAATATGTCTTCAATTATGTCATAAAAAAGACTCTGGCCATCCGAACCGAGCAGCATCCAATCTTATAATTATGTGTTGATACTTATAAGTGTTATCAAATCGGACAATTTTTAGTAACCGGTTACTCGCTTACTTTTCCGATCAAGTAAACGGTTACACAGATGGATTTTTTTTTTTAGACCTTTAAACATCCTTGCTCATGGTATGTATTCAATAATAACTGTAATATATGTAATGTCATTACAATTTCCATGTTTAACATTTACATACTGGCCAATATCAAACGCAAATGCACTGTAGATGCATTTCATTTATTTATTTTTAATTACACAAAGACAAATTAAAGCTTCTAAATGAATTTGTTCTTGAATATCCTGTAATAGTTGGCAATTTTTGCGGATGTCCTAAATATAAACTTACTTTAGTTTTGTTTCTGTGTATGTTAATTTCATTTTACATATTTTACACCTTTCGGATTTAAATTCTTTTAAAACATTTCGGAATCTATGCTTTTGATGGCTGTGGAGGCATCTTGTTTAAAATTAATCCTGTACTGCGGACTAGCACAGTATAAGTGAGGTAATTATAATTAACCCAGGTTTTCTACATTGTATACCGCTTGGCAATCAAAGCCATCGATTAGATAAACTGTGAAAACTAAGTGTTATCAAAACAAATTGGTCATGTTTGTGAAACGCTAGATCAAGTCTAATGTTAAATAACGGTAAATAAAATGGTAGAGGTGTACATTCATTTCTGAACAAAATAACATTTCTTTTCTACTTTTGTCTATATATCCGAGTAACTGAGTAGCAGTTTTACTATCTGATACTCGCATTGTTTGCCGATTAACCGGTTAACCAGGTACTCGTTGACAACACTAGTAGAAATGGTTAAAATGGCATCACACAAAATAAAGATAAATTAATTATTCAAACAACAGGGAGTAATACAGTAAAACATGCTTACAATAGCAAAGAGCTGAGGACCAAAATATTTAATTCTTTATAAACATAAACTTTCCATTTACAACACTTTTAAATCTATGGGGAAGGAAATCACTTCAATGTAAGCATACAAATTCATTTTAAGCATGTTTGCTATAACAATGTTTTGGCTGATTGATTTGAAAATTTTATAAATGGTTCTTCAATGATGTGCACAATTTAGGAGACACTGCAACAAATGGAAGCTAGACCACTGCTCCTTGATGAAAATATATCCTTGTTCGTAACCTTATTATAAATCTAGCTTAATAGTCAGACTGGGTGAAGCCTATCTTTATGAAGTATTGATGGTGGCATTACATAAAATTAAAGGCCTGAAGGCCTGAGAGACGCATCGCACTGAAGGTAGAAAACTCAAATTTTTTTACTCAGAAAAATTCGACATACATCTTGAGGGAACGAAAAAAAATCAGGAATAAAAATAAAAATTAAAAATATCATTTCTTTGAGGTTAAAAAAAGATTTTGAGTCGTGGCATTTTTTTAGTCGGTCGGAAGAGGGCAAACAAACATTTTTTTAAAGATAGTCTGATATATCAATTATAATTCATTGATATTTAAATTAATCTATAATTGATTTTAATTATACTTTTATTTTTTTTTATTCTTTCATTATAAACATAGTAGAAAGATGAAATAATGAAAGAGAATTTAGAAATGAATGATTATTGAATAATTCTATATAATTTCATATCTGAATTTTTTTCCGTTTCTTTCATTATGAGCATTTTTTTTTAAATATCAATACTTTGTCTTAGACTAGTTTTATCAATCAAAATGACATAATACGTAAACCATAGTGGGATACATGAAATGTTCATATAATTCGGACTGAAAAAAAAAAAAACAATCGGGAGTGGTATACGGTATACTATGAAACACGTTTCCTCCGATATTTTCGATAAAATTAACTCAAAAAGCCTATGTTTATATGGTATTAGTAAACCTATAAATTGAAATCCACTGTCATTGCAATTTTTTGTCAGATATTTTATCATACTCAACTGACATTTTACCAAAAACCGATCATTTCACCGTTTCATGTCACCCTTCCTCGTGGAATTTTTTTCCCAAAACAGTCTAGACGAACTCCAAAAACAGCTTTGCTTTTCCGGAAGTAAGAAATTGAGACTGAACAAGACTCCGAAAATAGAGTCCGCGCATGCGCACACGCACAAAAAATAGCGATTTTTCAGCAAAAATGATGGGTCTACAAAAACTGTCTGTGCAAAGTTTTGGAAAGCATGGCAATTATGCCAGTACTCAGAAATGCTAAATAAAAGACTTCGGAAGAGATCGTATTTGTCAGATTTTTGATTTTATTTGCAAAAAAGGAGATATTTACTTTCAAAGTTGACGTTTGAAGTCAGGTCAATTACAGAGAAAATGATACGTTTGAGAAGTAAATATGCATAATAAAAGGGATATATATGCTAAATGGGACAATACATATTGTAACTGTTAAAAACTTGACTGAATTTTACACATATATTAGCATTCCGGTATTTTTATTTGTGTACGACATCTGAATTGAACGCGTAAGTTCTTACCATGGTTATTTACCGATTTTTTTTAATCACATACAAACAGATATTATTATGAAAACATTTTTAAAACTATTAGCTATCAAAATGAAATCTTTAAAAACCACTCTTCTAGAAATTAAGGTCACAACATGTCTTCTAAATATAAACCTGTGAATATCTCTGCTCCGTAGTGAAAAATGCACATTTTCTAATTAAAATACATACAAGCTGGGTGTCTTCAAAAACAAGTAAAAGCACCTAGATATCGTAGGAACAACATTAAATTTAAATCAAGGAGACAATAAATCAAATAAGAAAATAATTCTTACCGGCAGTATTGAATTTGATTTTGTATAATCCAATTTACTACTATGCAAGAGTTTGAAGCAATAAATAAGTCAATATCCACAAAATAATTTCATAAATATAATTATCCATTCAACAAAAATTAAAGTAAAGTCACAATGCACTAAATACAACCATTATGCAGCCGTATATTTGAAGAAAGCGAACGACAATCCATCGTTTGTTTACATTGGACGCCATTTTGCCGCAATGCATGATGGAGCCAAAGACTTCGTTTTCGGAGTTCACGCCGTTTTTAGAGTTCGTCTTGACTGCGAAAGGTGGCCCTTGTTGCAAAAATTTATTCAGTTGAACATCTTACTATTCGTTTCATCAAGTGAAAAAATAATGATATCCCTTCTATTTCTATAAAAACAACCATCTTGTTCCTACTGTTAGTGATGTTTTATAAAATAAAATTATTGTATATTTTTCTCAGATATTCATACAAGCAATGTCGTATTACAAGGCCTAATAATTTATGGCAAGAGCTGTTGTGATGTAAATAGATCTTACTCCGCGTAGCACATGTTTGTTTGTTGTTGTTTTCTCTCTTTCTCTATTTTTGTTTTGTTTTGTAATTGTTTCTTTTTTGTTATCTTTGTTGCTTTCAAAGTATAAACAACATATATATGTGAGATTTTATGTTATTTGGTATTTAAAATAGACAATGAATATCACCAACTTGTCAATATACATTTGCTCTTTTTTCAATGGCGTATTTAGAATCAATATTGTGGAGTCCTTTGTCGCCGCAGTAATTGAAAAGAAAGAAATGGGGGTCGACTGCAATGAGGCCACATCGCTGTTAGGGATGCGCCTCAAAAAATAGTTTGTGTCCAAAAACATGTGAATAAACATGATAAATATTAAATCCCTCTTTATGACATTATGATATCATGAAATTAGCTTAACAGCTTAACAGACTGGGTAGTGCAACTTGTATAATTATATTTATATATATTACCTGAATTAATCTCATCATCATCATCACTGTCAAATGAATTTCCATTGAATTCCCAACTAAAAGGGTCTGATTCCACTTCCACATCTGAGCTAGCCATTTGGATGTCTAAAACATCAAAGCATTTAGATTCAACATCACTTTTTAAAAAATTAAAACTGTCTTCAAACAAGAGGCCCATGGACCACGATGCTCACTTTGGTCAAATAGGTTCAATAAAAGACTTACTTATAGACACAAAATATTACAAAAAAATTTATCAATTCAGATTCTGAGATCTTATTTTCCAGGTATAAGTCTTCTGCTAAATGTGTCTTTGTGTGACATCATATTGTAACTAGGGGATTGCTCTAAAATCAGCCCCAGTATTTCCAATTTGTTTAAACATCATTTATGTTAAAAATTATACAAAAAATATTTTTTGGAAAAAATATACAAACTTAAATTTAAATAGAGATCAATCTGGATTTTAACTTTTTTGCACAAAACTATAAATTAAGAGCATATAAAATTATAATCATGTAATGAAAAAATATGAAATTCAAGCAATATTATCATTCTTTCTACATCCATCCACTTTACAAAACAAAACCACAGATGTTGAGAGTAAATTAATAATATAAACTTACTTTTATAGTCTGATATAAATTTGATCTCAAAACTTTTTTGGTCAAAGCCAGCCTGGCAGTAAAAATCTGCTTCTGACGAAGGTGACATTCGTCTTCTCTGAAAATAGATGTGATCAGGGAATACATAAGCTTTAATTCATAACATACTATATAAATGGTGCCTGTTTTGGAGGGTAACAAATGAAATTGACACCCTTTTGAAAACCATTGTTAACCTTTTGTTTTGTCATTGAAATGATCCCTCCTGAAATATTTTATCGACCAAATATTAGAAGATTTTTTTTAAATTTTAATCAATTCTTTGCCTGTAATCAAATGACCACCAAAACTTGTGTTGGATCTAAGGGAAAACAAGTTTCTTGGTTGACTAGTGATACTTTTTACAAAAAAGTTAACTGTTTATTGAGTTTTTTTAAAACATATAAACATAGGTAATCAAAGATTACAAAGCTCAATGAATGGTACATGTGTATCTATAAGTAAGGTAAATCTTGTACCAATTTTGTGCGAGATCAATTATCAATGCAAGTTTGGTTAAAGTAGGACTTATAGTTGCATGGGAATAGACCTGCTCGTAAAAACTTTAAACTTAAACTGTTTACTCATAAAGAAAATGTAGGTCAGTTCCAGCATCCATAGCATGTCTGGTAGTGTCCATCCCTAGTTTCGTCATCCATGCAAGTTTAATCATAACATGTCATATAGTGATAGAGCTACTCCAAAGACATTACTCTGGTCACATATCTGAAAAATGTAGGTCAGATTCAGCATCCAAAGCAAGTCTTCTTGTGTCCATCTTTAGATACATCATTCCATGCTAGTTTGGTTCTGGTAAGGCTAATAATTACTCATCTGGAAAATAAAGGTTAGATCCAGCATCCAAAGCAAGTCTGGTAGTGTCCATCCCTAGGTGCATCCTCCATGCAACTTTGGTTCAGGTAGGGCTTAGTTACTTGGAAATGCATGGACTTGCTCCAAAAACTTTAACCTGGTCACTCATCTAGAAAAATTTAGGTCAGATCCAGTATCTGAAGCAAGTCTAGTATTGTCCATCCCTAGATGCATCATCCATGTAAGTTGGGTCCAGGTACGGCTTATAGTTACTTGGGAATGGACTTGCTCCTAAAACTTTAACCGGGATGCCGACACAAACGAAAATCAATAATTATGATTTGCCATCTAAATCACATGAATGTTCAATTTCAAGTGTGATTTACAACATTTTCATAATTTTATTCGGTAAACAAATAAAAAAAATTACAAATTCATTTTTAATGGACCCAAATTATAGCTTGTATAGCCACTGTATTAGTGTAAAATGTGCACTGTGCCATTTGGCTGACCCCACAAAATGCAAGAAAGCCTGATTTTCTAGTTTGTAAGTTCATTGCAGTCTGCACTCTTGGTATTCGTCATCGAAATTAAATGATACCATGATGTATCATATAACAAGAGGCCCAAGGGCCTTAACGGTCACGTGAGTATAAAACAATAATCCATAGAGGATCCATAGAGTATAAAATAAACTGATAGAACCTTAATTTGTTGCCCAAAAGCAAGAAAAATAGGATGATCATGATCTTCGAAATAATTAGTCTAATATTCAGTAACAACTCATAAATTAAGTTCTAATCTGTCCCCAATTTAGATTTTTTTCCTATAAGTTTTATTTTCTAATATGCCCCCACCCTACTCCCGAGGGTCATAATTTGAATAATCTTGAATCTACACTACTGTAAAACACTTTTTATTCACAAGAACTTTATTTTTGCATAATTACGTGAGACAGTGTGCTCGTGAAAATTTCATTCTCACTTATCTTAGTATTCCTAAAGATTATATACAGCAAACACATTTCGTGAATATTCTGTCTCGCTAATAAGGAGTCAGTGACTATCTCGCGAAAATGAAGTGTCCCGAAAATTTAGTGATCTACAGCACCTGAAGATGTTTCTGTATTAAAATGACTAATCATGGCTTTGTTGTTCTTGAGAAGAAAATTTTTAAATGATCTTTCATATATATTCCTAACTAAAATTTGATCACCTGTTGTGTCCCCTCCCTACCCCAGGGGGTCATGATTTGAACAAATTTGAATTTACATTACCCAAGGATGCTTCCATATAAATAAGACAAATCATGCCTTTGCTATTCTTGAGAAGAAGATTGTTAAAGATTTTTCCTATGTATTCATATGTAAATCTTTGATCATAAATTGTGGCCCCACTCTATATTACCTGAGGATGCTTCCATGTAAATATAACCAATCATGGCTTTGCTGTTCTTGAGAAAATAATTTTTTCAAGATTTTTCCTACGTATTCCAATGTAAAAATTTCATTGTTCATTATGGCCCCACCCTCCCCGGGGATCATCATTTTAAGAAATTTGAATCTACACTACCTGAAGATGTTTCTACATCAGTTTCATCTTTCTTGGCCCAGTGGTTCTGGAGAAGATTTTTCCAATGTATTCCCATGTAAAACTTTGATCTCCCATTGTGACCCACCCTGCCCCCGGCAGGGGTGTGCAATTACCATTGCCCAATGCTCAGGGCTACCAATTTTAGAGGTTGGGCTATCATAAATCTATACTGCATTAGCCTGTCGGGCTAGTAAATCTGAAACGAAAGTATATGTATATTTACATCGACTGAATTGATGTACGAATTAACTTTGTTGTAAAATCATAATCTTTAATTCTTTTCAACATATATGTATTGTGTGTTGCTATCGCCAGTCGTTTCAGTGACTGTCACAATTATATTCAATAAAAATAGGGAGAAGTACCTGACAATAACATAGTGGAAACCATTATTTGTTTTATTTATTTCAACTTAAATTTTTTTTTTTTTTTTTACCTTTTTGTTATACTTATACATGTATTGTTTTCGGTAGTTAATGGGCTAGTGATGATTGTCAACCTCGAGCTAGTAACTTCCACTAGCCCAGGCTAGTAACTAATTTTTGTAATTGCACACCCCTGCCCAGGGGTCATGATTTGAACAAACTTGAATCTACACTACCTGGGGATGTTTCCACGTAAGTTTTATCTTTCTTGGCCCAGTGGTTCTGGAGAAGAAGATTTTTAAAGATTTTTCCTATGTATTCCTATAATGTAAAACTTTGATCGTCCATTGTGGCCCCACCCTACCCCTGGGAGTTATGATTTTAACAAACTTGAGTCTACACTACCTGAGGATGTTTCCACATAAGTTTCATCTTACCTGGTCCAGTGGTTCTTGAGAAGAAGATTTTTAAAAGATGCCATTAATTTTTCACTAATTCTTAGTTATCTCCCCTTGGAAGACGGTGTGGCGCTTCATTTGAACAAACTTGAATTACCTTTACCCAAGGATACTTTGTTGCAAGTTTGGTTGAAATTGGCCCGGTGGTTCTTGAGAAGAAGTTGAAAATGTAAAAAGTTTACGCAAGACGCACACCCGCACGACGACAGATGAAAACAGATACATGTAGCAATAGGTCACCTGAGTGACTCAGGTGACCTAATAAAATCAGAGCCACCAATCAACATATTGACATCCACTGGCTAAGCAACAAACTTTTCCTCTGATGTGGTTCCTAACTCCAAAATATCAAGTCATTTTGCATGGCTGCACCACAGATTTATGAAATTGATGCATATGGAAAATATTACCTTAGGCCATTCCAAGTTTTTTCTATGTTTAGCATCCACCCATCTTTCAAATACTTCCCTACCTATTCGCAAAAAACACACAAACCAAAAAGTAAAACACAAGTCATTATAGCCATAAAAATGATGTCATTCAAAGAATATGATTCCATTCATCTATTTTTCTCATAGAAATATTTATTCTTCAGCAAAATCAAGGTATTAAATGCTTAAAATATTCCAAATATGGCATATTGTAGACAAATACTTAGAGAAATTGACAGAATTCAGTGAATCGACCAGAATAAACAATTTCAGGACTCCTGATTTTGTTTGTTTGGGTTTTTTTTTTTTTTGTTAAGGGATGTCAAAAAATCCAAGGCACACGCGGACGCTAAACATTGAAAAAACTTGGAATGGCCTTAAATGTACAATGAAATACCATAGTTACTAACAAATTCTAATTAATTATCTAGGCTCGCTCTTTGATCTCTAAAAGTTGGAATTAAAAAATGATTTTGGTTTAAATATATTTTATTCTAAATACTTGCTGTAATAGATGACAAATCTCCATGAAGTTCTAAAAACAGAAAATTTATTTCCACATATCTGTTATCAAGGTGGCAGGGGATAATTTTTCTTTTCAATGCCAAACATGTGCTGAGGGGGTAGGCATATGCATGAGGTCAATAAAAACAGATCATAGTTTGGAGCAGTTTCTTGGGTGCTAATTAATTGCACTTCATATATCTATAGCTCAAAAAATGTGTCAACGTATAACATGTAACCTACATATTAAAGTGCACATGTACCGAAAATGCACTTGGAGGTCTCCAAAGATTTTGGCTTGTTTTTCCAAGATTTGGGCTGCTGTCGCACCTATACAGCCCATCCCATTCCCGAGCAAGCAGGATAAAACACCCAGTATTCTGTAGAACAATGCATGCCCTAATGAAAATTCACCAATTGATCTGGGGCCATTCACCTTCCCTCTGAGATGCACACCACTGCTTTTCAGCTGAACTTCCTCTGCGACTGACCAAATGTCTTAGTTTCGCATTTACAACTCTATATATGCTAAGCATCAGAGTAACACCTACATGATGCACATCATTTTTCTCAGCAAGCTCTGCTACACTGCACATGTACATGTATCCCATAATTATTCTATTCATTTTTCTACATAAAATATCACATCAATCAGGGGATATCTCAGTTTTTAAAGAAATTTGACAGTGCGTACTAATCTATAGTATGAAACTATCCCCTGCCACCCAATGTCATATGGCCATAGTCAAGTCGTACACAAGGCAATTCAAATCTTAACATGTTAACATACAAACATATATGGTTTTGAGTTGACACAGATAAATGCTGTTTTTATTCTCACGGATCAAAAAGTTCCTTGATAAAATGGTTTGCTTAACGGATAAAAGTTATGTAATTGATCCTAAAAGTTTCCTTTTATTATATTTTGCTAGTTGTAAAGGGGTATATAATAAATTTATCATTATAACAGTAACTTGATCCTGAGACCCGTATTACGTCTCGTTGACAGGCGCGGATCATCAGATCAAACTAATTTGATCTGATGATCTGTGCATGTCAACTTGACATGATACGGCTCTTCGGATCAAGTTACTATTATAATTATATATATATACTGGCCTCTGTTCTTCTTTCAGAAAATATAATAGGCTCAATTTCGTTGAGTCAATAATTTGGAATATCCCATAATTATCTCTTAATTTGAATCACTTAAACATGTTAAATCAACACATACCCCTGATCGGCCGAGAATTGCAAAATTTGGTGGTAATTTGCTTTACATTTAGATTATTTTACAACGTATACTTTAAAATTTATTAAATATCCATTCCAATAAACAAAAAGAACAGATTACATTTATCGGAAAACAAATTTTTTACTGAGAATAAACATAGTTTGAAAAACTTGTAGTGTTTTGGGCGAGTAAACATGGTACTGAAGGAGATGCCTATCCCGTTAGTATATAGATCCCTGACTTAATGCATAAAATAATGATTATACGTTAAAAAAGTGTGTTATAAAATTTGCATTGTCTGTTTATGATACGGAATACAACAGATCTAGGGTCTATAAGTCAAAAAATTTATTTGTTTATTCATTTGAAAATTTTGTTACAATTCCAGGAAATGCAGACATGGCTCTTCTTTATAGTAAAATTCTGCACCAGATTTTCATTTTGCTCAGTAAAAGTTCACTTCAATTATAATGCCCTGTTCACACAGAGAGTTTAATTTGAATTAAACATAAGTTACTGCGAATTAAATTTGAATCGCATTCGCACAGGGAATTTAATGCGAATTAGTTTAATTCAAATTAATTAACTGCACATTAAATTACTTCGCATTAGCTCTGTGTGAACGCTAAGCGAAGCTAATTCGAATTAAATTTTGACGCATGCGTAATGGCACAATTAAGTCACATGCCAAATGTCTGTGGACAGATATGGATACTTATGCTATTTTTTAGTGGAAAACAAAGAAAAATTATGTTAATCACTGAAATGTGCATAGAGACTATGACAGAATGTAATATGGGTTTGCTGCGCATAAGGCGACGTGATTTGAAAATGACATCATAATAGCCTTACTGAATAGCCTTACTGTAGAAATAAAATTTTAATTCCCATTAGTTTACTTCGCATTAGCTGTAGTGTGAACACAATTTAATTTGCATTATTTTAATTCACATTATTTACTTCGCATTAATTTACTGCGAATTAAACTCTCCGTGTGAACAGGGCATAACAATTTAATGCATGTTACTGTCAATCAAAAATTGTTTTAATCAGTAAATCATGATGCAAAAACTAACATAACTTGCAGAAGTCAGCATAAACAACTTCACTAGCGAATCAAGATCCCATTCAAAAAACATTGGTAATGTAATGCAATATCATGCACTCAAGTGTATAATATATAATTTTCTTATCGGTATTGTAAAACAATTGATACCACATATGAGTTCCACATGGTGAAAAGAAGGACCCTTGACATGACTGACTTGCTAACCAGACATGACCTCGGCCACTACGTGGCCTTTTTCAGGTTAATTAGAACAATCTAACTGTGTCTTGGGACAGGCCCTCACTACAGTTAGAATCCCTCCCATATACCAATAATATAGCAGAAAATTGCAGAATCGCTCCGAAATGAGTTTGGAGAAAATTAATGAAGTTGCATTGAAAATAACAGTCAAATTAATCATAAAAAACCTTTTGAGACTGTAAATACCTTTCATCTAAAAATTTAATCCATATAATGGAAGAATTCAACACTTTTTCACCAACATTTTTTACTCGTTTCAAATTTACACAAGATGTTGACATTCAGAACTCTCAGGATATTTCATAGTAAATGCACAAAGTTAGAGTTATCTCCCGTATTTTCTTTGCTACATGGACAATACACGGAATGCATTCTATCATTAAACAGGGTCCGTAGGACATTTATCATTTTAATGATAGAACATTCTATCTATGGTCAGGTCAGTTCACCTCGTAGACCAAGTCTTGGGTCCGTATTTCACCATGTTGACCTCAGAAGAGGTAATAAATTGTTAATATTGTTAAGTTATGAGTTGTCATCAATTTATATAGGGGAGTCAGCTTGTAACAATTCTCCTGGTTACGAGTTGAATTTTGTCGTTTCATTAATATGAGTTGACCTATTGGGTTTGATCTGATCTACTCAACATGCTAGAGGTTCACGGCGATATACTTTTGACTTGGCGCTCCGAGGTATATAAGGAGCGTAGGGACGTTTAACCGAGGCTCTTACTTGTAGGAGGAGATCTGACCTAGATACGATCATACGAGGCTGGTTACGAGTTGACCAAAAACCCTTAAACAGACACTGTAACTTTTCTGTGTTTCCCAATCCCAAACAAGGATAGACTGTAATGCAGGCCCAACTGTGTTCATTGTACGTGTATAAAAAATGAATAAAACGGACACTATAAAGATTATCGTTCCGAAAAATTGACACATACAACTGACCTAGTTCGAATTTTCTCAACTAAGTGACAACTTTCCAAAGTTCACAGTACATACGATGAACTTCAAGCATCTTCTAAATTTCCATCTTCAAAAGTAACAAGAGAAGATTTTTATACTTTAAAGCTTACAAATACTTACAAAACTGTCTTTCATACGCAATGCAGTCTCAGTGATCAGTTCATGTTCATGTTGTAGGGTGTTACCTTCGCTTAACTGGTTCTTGTGAACTTCCGGTAACCAGCACATTTCTGAAACGTGAAAATCTTGTAATATGCAGGCAATATTTATGACTTTTAGAGTGGGACAGTTGCAAAGTATGATGGCAAAGGTACTTATTTTGGCCATTTTAGGGTGGGACAAGTCATTTTAACAACAAAAGACCCTACATACATAATCTATATAACTCAGTAACTGTAGGGCAGTGGCGGATCCAGAAGTGTCTAAAGATTAAGGGCCTGGGACACAAATTATAAATGCAATATTTAGCAACAACAAAATAAAAATTTCTTAATCTTTATACGAATAATTTTGGTTATAACAGGGGAGTTGGCGCCCCCCCCCCCCGAACCCCCTCCTAATAAAGGTCCCTGATTTTATTATGAATTGAGAAAAGACTCATGAATACATGTAGTTATTCAAATCCATGAAATAAACCCTCAAATCACAGGTTCCTCCTAGTTTTTGGACAATTTAGACCTGGCCTTCCATGCAAAACTGTCAAATTAATCAATATAATCAAATTATCAGGAAATTAATTAATCAATTTAGATTTAGAAAGTATGCTACATTTAAGATATAGACAGTATGTTAGAAGCATATAATATACTTTTAGTCAAGAGTGTACGGGGATTTACCCTGGATTGTATTCCATACACCTTGAGGCTGAATCAAGGGTGTAGGGGATTTACTCTGTGTTGTATTCCATACATGTGTGCAGAAGGCCCCAGTGCTTTTTAACTATGCCTTGTGACATCACAATATTTTACCTTCAGCTCAAGCTGTACATAGTACATGTATACTAAATTACACCAGCTGGCTTGCTATACAAACAAATCTTGTATTACAAGTTAGCTTGCTGCTTCAGCCTCTGAGGATGTATAGAATACAATTTACCAGAGGAAAATCTCTTTACATCCTTGATTGAATTGCAGTGGATATATCCCTGCTAGAATTACAAGAAAAACAATCCAATGCATGTCATATTTCCTTAGAAATAAAAAATGTCATGGTCAAGTAAGATTTTATACAACTTTCAAACATTTTCAGATTGCATGATATCCAAAATCATGCACGTTTAAAATTCCCAAAATTATTTCATTTAGAAAAGGAAATCACCAAATATTTTGCAACTGAATGGAGTCTATGCCCTTCAAGTAGTAGCCATCTATATCACAGCCTCAACATGGCTGATGAAGGAGAAATTTAAAGGTCATATTATATTGTATATATGTACAGGGGTATTTATGAACTTTACATTGTACTTTGATTTAATTTTCATACAAAATGAGGACGGGAAATATATTCTTTCACTGCAGTGGAAGGTATGAGACCAATTTATTTAAGACTTTATAAATCTATGTTTATGCACTGGTCCCACTCTGGTGAATAATATTGCCTAGTCTCTTATTCATGGACTATAAATTTGTGGAAACTTGAATGTAATTGATATTGCAATTCAAATTATCCTAGTAATTAAGAATACGAAGCCAAATATACTTATTAAGTGGATGTTGCATTATTTTGTATGCTTTCTGTGGTTCATGACATTATGCTGAAAATTCTTTCCAAAAAATATTTACTTGTACATACGTATGTTTATCTAGAGTGTTCCAAGAAAAAACATGTGTTGCCTGCTATATAGGCTCATAAAAGTTGCAAATAAATCTAAGGATGGTCAGGTATTTGCTGTACAGTGCATAAAAAAATCCACAAATAGGAAGGCTCTGATAGAAATTGACAATATAATAGAAAATGTTGAATATGATTTCCCTATCCTCAAAACTAAACAAAATAATATTACAATTAAATCAGAAATAATTATAATTTAATGCATGTTTCCAACAATCCTCTGAAAGTCTGACTATCCCTATGATACTGACTTTACTACACTTGAATTTAACATTCAGCTGATTTTCAAAGGAAATACTTAGTATTCAAGATATCTTTATCTAAATTCACACAATGATATATTGTGAGAACTATTCAAATGTGTCCATTTTTTTTACCTTGACTTAGCTTTTTCATTTTGCATTTTGTTCAGTTTTAAAGGAACTTTTTTTTTATCCAAATACACATACAGTGTACTATCACATGTTGGTAAGAAGTATTCAAATGTGTCCTGAATTTTTTATTGTGACCCCTATGATATTGACCCAACTATTTCAATCTGCATTTAGCTCAATTTCAAAGAAATTATTCAAGATATTTTTATCTATACACATATCTGAGATAAACTATGTCAATTTTTTTTATCTTGATCTTCCCTTTGACCTCTCTATTCCTTATTTTGCATGTAGCTTAGTCTTAAAAAAATCTTTTAATTTATTTTTATCTATGCACTTGCACTGACACATATTGGTGATAACATTTCAACTGTGTCCAAATTATGACCTGTTCCTTTTGTTAATCATTAATCTGACTATTTATTTTAGTTACAGCTCTTTTTTTTTTTTAAAGAAAGTATTCATAATATTTCTATCAAACGTACAATAACACAAAATTGGTGAGAGTTATTCAACTGTGTCATAATACTTCAAAACTTTATAAAGTTTCCTTTGACCTTGACCTCATCATTCCTCCTTTACTCTGATTTTGAACCATAGAAGCCTGATGCTTTTTTCCTTGTTTCATCAAAACTTATCCTGGGTAAGGCATTCATGTCCTGTTATAGATTTTAATTTCTTTTAATGAAGGTTGTTATCTAGAACACTGATATCTCAAATACATGGATACATGTTTGTCGAAGTGAGTTGGCACTCCCTAAAATCTTTTTTTCAGCATTCTTCATGTTTTTAACCCTTGTCATTTCCAATCTTTCTGCGAAAATTTCAAATTGTTATTAAAAAAAATGAATTGCAATGTTTATGCCTTTATAAAAAAAATTTAAACAAAATAAAAAAAAAATTTTACCTATCAACCCTATTTTTTATTAGCAAGTAATGGTACATGTATACAAGCATGTTTTTTTCCTTAGGCCGTGATGTCTTATAGATTTCATTCCAGTTAATAAATCTTGTTGATCGATTGATTGTTTGTTGTTTAATGTCCCTCTCGAGAATTTTTCATTCATATAGAGATGCTACCACTTGCTGGTGTAGGCTACAAATGTTGACCTATACTCAGCACTCAGGGCCAGTGAGGGATATTTTTCGAGCCAGCACTTACTGTGACAAGTGACCTTGGTTTATACAGTCTCATCCAAAGGACCGGTCTCCACGACCCGCAGTGGGATTCGAACCTGCGACGTAAGGATCAACTCCTTTTTCCGCGACTCTAGAGCAGACACCCTAACCACTGCGTCATGCAGGCGACAAGATATCTTATTAAAAAGTCTAATAAACTGTAGCTCTGTACATTGTATTTACCTAAAATGTGCGAATTCAATGCATCACCAAACTCGATAAATCATGATATCTGTATAACAACATATTGCTGTTTCCTAATTAATGAGAATTAGTCTGTGTATATATATAGTGCAAACATATAGTGCATATGCATGTATGCATAGTGTATATGCATATAAACATATCAAGTTTTCAAGCAATAATTACTTAAGTTGAACTTCAGTATCCATGACACTGATATATTGAATATCATGGATATGTTGAAAGGGATTTTGAAGTCCCAAACCCTTATTCTTTGGGTATTTTGCCCTGGATATCTTGAATCCTTAGATATCAAGGTTTGACTGTATTTAAAATTTTTGGAGTTTCATTGTTATTCTGCTAACCCAGTTAAGCAGGTATTACTATTTCAATCTATAATACTATATGTCTTGTTAATTCCTAACCCATACTAATTATCAGACTAGTAATCAATGACTTCCCTAAGTAAGTTGTGACTTATTGACCACTTTTGGGTACATTAAAAGTGGCAGATTCAGGACCCCCCTCCCCCCCCCCCCACTCCAAGATTTTTTTTTTTAAATTGTCATTTTTACAACATATTGCATAAATGAGATTGTCTCTTTGCTATATCCAAACACATTGTTCTGTATTATATTATATGTATTAAAAAACCCAAACATTTACTTATTGTAGTACTCTTAGATAGATTAAAGGCCGACTGAGTCATAATTTTTAATATTATACTTTCATGTAAATTAGTTGAATGTGATTCATCAAGAAACATTTGTTAAAAACACTATTACCCGCTGAATAATGAAGCCACACCCTCCAGGATAGCAACAGTCGACATTGCTTGACTACAGGTGATATTCCAAAAAAATATTGACTCTGCAGAATTTATGCGCGCAAGGTTCACTGTTATGTGATTGTTTGTTTGTTTGTATGTTGTTTAATGTCCCTCTCGAGAATTTTTCACTCATATGGAGATGCCACCACTTGCCGGTGGAGAGCTGCTAATTTTGTCCTATACTCTGCACTTACGGCCATTGAGCAGTGAGGGATCTTTTTTGTGCCAGCACCTACTGCGACATGGGACCTCAATTTATACTGTCTCATCCAAAGGACCGGTCTCCACGTCCAACAGTGGGATTCAAATCCGCGACGTAAGGATCAACTCCTTACTTCGCGAGCAGGCGCTCTAACCACTGCGCCACGCGGGCGACTCACTGTACTGTGTATTTGTATAAAACATTCAGTATGATATGAAAAATACTTCATGTAGTTGCAATTGAGGGTAACATTGAAAATTTTCACCCCAAGAAAACCATTGTCAACCTCGGCTGTGCATCGGTTGACAATGGTTTTCTAAGGCTGAAAATTTTCAATGTTGCCATGGTTACACTCAACTACATGCAGTATTTATATAATACAATCTCAAACTTTATATTACTGAGAAAGAACTTCAAGATATCCAAGGATTAAGGATATCGAGCCTCGGTTGACAATGGTTTTCTTGGGGTGAAAATTTTCAATGTTACACTCAACTTCATGCAGTATTTATTATATTATGCTGAATGTTTTTGCGAATACATATAAAAGTGAACCTTGCATGCATAAATTCTGCGCAGTCACTATTTTTGGAATATCACCCGTCATGAAGCATTGTTGACTGTTGCTATGCCGGAGGGCATGACTTCATCATTCGGTGGGTAATAGTGTTTTTTAACAAATGTTTCTCGGCGAATCAGATTCAACTATATAGCAGCAGAAATAATCTGAAAATTGAAAGCTAACCAAAATGTTAGTCTAAAAATGTTGATTTATTTTGCTCCCATCCTTTTGCATAAAGAAAGCTTGAAAATTCTTTCCATTTAACTCACATTTATCTTTTTTAATTACTAATAGTATGCGCAGTGGTTATAGCATTTGCTCTGGAGTCGCAGCTTACATTGCGGATTCGAATCTCATTGCAGGACATGGGGACAGGTCCTTTGGATGACAGTATATACCGAGCTTCTGTTTCATAGTATGCTCTGGCATGAAAAAGATCCATAATTGCTTATGGGTGCACAGGTCTAAATTTTTGGCCCTCCACCGGCAAGTGGTGGCATCTCAGTATGAGAGAAAAATTTTCAAAGGGATGGTAAACAAGCAAACAATTATTTTAATTACTTGTTCTTTAATATTAAGCAAATATGAAAGAATTTTATTTTTTCTCTTGAATATTTTGCAATTGTATCAGAGCTTGAATACTGTTCGTTATCTCCATATATTTCGTCAAACTCTTTCTTTCAAATAAACTTAACTTTCAGGAAGTTCTGGTTAAGTCAAATTACTGGTATATAAAATGTGAGATTATATGATGAAATAATTTCATTAGAGATGATGAAATAATCTCATTAGATAAGGCAACATTATTTACAATGAATTGTTTAAAACAGATAAAAAACACTAAAAAAAAAAAAAAACCCAAACAAACAGATAAAAGAACACTAAAACAAATTCACTTGTTTTAAGTAAAATATTTACATATGTTTATTTAATAAACATTTTTTAAAGAAAAGGTAAGTTCACTTTTATCATTCTTGATCAGGAAATTCGGATTATCCCTCATTCTACTTTTACAACCAGTAACTCACAATGACTTTTTTCAATATCCTAATGTTAAGTGCACAAAAGACAAACTTAGGGCCTATAATTTATTAATTTATCTGTTTGCAATCGCATTGCCTTTGACAAACTACTTTAAAATGTCGGAATTTCGAGGAAATTCAGTCAATATTAATAAATGTTATGTAACATATAAAACTGACTTTAAAGTTTAAAATAATAATTAAATTAAACACGGTACGTTATTTTAAAGTTAATTATTTCAATTAATAGAGAAAATATCCTTAGAAGAAGTGCAACTTTATTCACATCCTTAACTGAATGTCATTTCTAACAAAATAATCTGTTAAAATCATGTTATATTTTTTTTTATCAGTACTCTGGTCTTTAAGTGACTAAATAATAATAAAACATATCAAAAACAGTTAATTCGGATTTTGTACTATGTAAAAATTGTCAAAATATGTTGTTAATAACTTACTTTTACTGTTGATGTCCATTTTCACGGAAGTTACTCGTGCGCATGCGCAAAAAATCCATCAGGTGAAAGTGTGTAAACGCCATGATGCAGCATGAAAATGTGTGTGGAAAAAATCACGTTCAGACCGGAAACTCACACTATGAACAATTTTGTATTATCTGGGTAATATACGGTGCGAAATTCCGTTTTCAACACTTTAGAAAACTCACTACATGAGTGTAAGTGGTGACTCTTCAAAATGTAGTGACTTGCTGGTGTGTTACCTAGTGCGTGTAGTGAGTATCGGGGTTTTACAAACACACACACACACACCCCTCACACACCCTCACCCTCATACACACACCCCCTCTCACGTACACACACACACACACACACACGCACACACACACACAGATATATATATATATATATATATATATATATATATATATATATATATATATATATATATATATATATTAGGGATGTCAACGAGTACCCGGTTAACCGGGTACTCGATCGAACGTCCGAGTATCGATTACTAAAAATGATACTCGGTTACTCGGATGTGTATTTTTTCTTATTTCAAACTACATATTTTTATCAAAAACTTAAAAAAAAAAAAAAAAAAAAAAACTTAAATATTCATACGGGTAATTAGCGTGTCGTCGTCTACACATGTAATCATCCGTTATAGCCTATAGTTGTGTACAGTAATTAGTGACCAATCACCTGGTACGCAGCTGTTCTCACCTATTGTGGTCCTTAATTTTTTGATGGCTTCAATGATTGTTTTCTTTTCACTGAACAACGTTTAATATGGTCTATTATCTTCAAATCATTTTTAAATTAATACCGCTACCCACTTCAAAATAAGTAAAGATTAAAAGAAATGTTTAAAGTCAGTTTCCATAGTAAGTTTAGTTATACGGGGGAAACAACCAACATATGAAAAAATATTAGACTAGCGATCCAAACAATGACCGTTCCCTCTCTTTCGCTAATCATCACAAACATGCGTAACTGATTGTCCTCCTTTTGCGTTGATGAAATAGATCTTAAACAAGAACTGTAAACCATTTGTAATTTTTTATGTACATATGTATTAATTGTGTCTTATGTATTTATTTAATACCAAAAATCATTTCCGTTGGACTCCATGTTTACATACATTCATAAAACGTGATAAAAACAGCTTTGGGGTTTAACAAATTAACAATATTAAAAATATTAACAAACTTGTTTTACATTTTTACCGAGTACCCGGGTACTCGATCGGAAAAAACACCGAGTAACCGATTATCAAAATTTGACCGATTTGACATCCCTAATATATATATATATATATATATATATATATATATATATATATATATATATATATATATATATATATATATATATATATATATATATATATATATATATATATAACATTTTTGAAGAAGTTTTCCCATTATATCACAAATATAATATTTTTATCCATATGCCCTGAAAAACTGCTGAATCACGCCGTATATAGTTATATTACACCGGAAACAGTTATATTGCCCTCCAGAACTCCGTTATATTCCCTCGCGTGCAGTCATTCTGCATATTGATTAAGTCGGGTTCAAAATTCACAGAAGCAGTTGCTAAGCAAACGTAAACAGTTCCGCCAAAATAAAAATGTCTGGACAACGTCTGCGTTTTTTTATGGTCATTTAAATTCAGAGGAACTAGATAGTTTGATTGAGGAGAAAATTCCGTAAATACAACAAAAATTATAAACACAAATGTCAGCGTGCTGAAAACATTCTGCAATGAAACAAGACGGAATATTTCGGAATTATTTATAAAGGAAGAGAAATCGGCCTTCATAACTTTCAGCCGTACCCCGTTATCATTTTAACAACAAAAGTGTTAATGATCCTTAGCATTATTATCGAAACTATTAGTACCCACCAATCAGCTACATGTATTTAAAAAAATAATTTGCATGTTTTTTTTCTAGATATTTACACAGGTCCATACATGTATATAGTTGTCAATAAATATGTCCGATTTTGGTTTTTATGCCCCTGGATCGCAAGATCCCGGGGGTATATTGTTTTTGTCCTGTCTGTCTGTTTGTCTGTTTGTCTGTTTGTTTGTCTGTTTGTCTGTCTGTCTGTTGTCAACTTTAACCTTGCCCATAACTTTTGATTGGTTGGAGCTATGACTTTCATATTTCACATGTGTATTCCTTGTGACAAGACCTTTCTTTGGGTACCATCATATCTTACCTTTTGACCTTGACCTTGGAGTTTGACCCACTTTTGCAAAATTTTATGAGACTTTAACCTTGGCCATAACTTCTGAACAGTTAGAGCTTGGGGTTTCAAACTTCACATGTGTATTCTTTGTGACAAGGCCTTCTTTTGGATACCAACCACTTCGACCTTTTGACCTTGACCTTGGACTTTGACCTACTTTTGAAAAACTTTAACCTTGGCCATAACTTTTGAACAGTTGGTGCTTAGGGTTTCAAACTTCACATGTGTATTCCTTGTGACAAGACCTTCCTCTGGATATCAACCACTTTGACCCTTTTGACCTTGACCTAGGAGTTTGACCTACTTTTGAAAAACTTTAACCTTGGCCATAACTTTTGAATGGTTGGAGCTAGGGCTTTCATAATTCACATATGTAATCCTTGTGACAAGACCTTCCTTTGAATACCAACGACTTTGACCTTTTGACCTTGACCTAGGAGTTTGACCTACTTTTGAAAAACTTTAACCTTAGCCATAACTTTTGAATGGTTGATGCTAGGGCTTTCATAATTCACATATGTAATCCTTGTGACAAGACCTTTCTTTGGATACCAACCACTTTGACCCTTTGACCTTGACCTAGGAGTTTGACCTACTTTTGAAAAACTTTAACCTTGGCCATAACTTTTGAATGGTTGGTGCTTAGGGTTTCAAACTTCACATGTGTATTCCTTGTGACAAGACCTTCCTCTGGATATCAACCACTTTGACCCTTTTGACCTTGACCTAGGAGTTTGACCTACTTTTGTAAAACTTTAACCTTGGCCATAACTTTTGAATGGTTGGAGCTAGGGCTTTCATACTTCACATATGTATTCCTTGTGACGAGATCTTCCATTGGATACCAACCACTTTGACCTTGACCTTGACGTTTGACTTTTATTTAAAAAACTTTAACCTTCACCATAACTTTTGAACAGTTGTATCTAGGTCTTTCAAATTTCACAGGTGTTTTCCTCGAGACAAGATCTTTCTTTGGGTATCAACATTTTTTATCTTTTGGCCTGGATTTTGACTTGCATTTGAGAAACTTTAACCTTCGACATAAGCTACCATACGGGAGCATAGTGTTTCACAAACACATCTTGTTTAAAAATGTTATATACCATATATTATATGACTGCTCGGGCAACAATACCAGAATATTTGCCCCTCGGTAACAGGAAAGCCCTGGAGTGTTATGTCGCCCTCTGCCTTCGGCATCGGGCGAAATAACACTCCAGGGCTTTCCTGTCACCTCGGAGGCAAATATTCTGGTATGTTGCCCTCGAAGCCATGTAATATGTGTATAATTTTGTCCAATTCAATTTTCCCGAACTTTTACGTTATACTATGACGTCATGGATTTATTCCTTCCCTGCAAAGACACTCATGACATCATGACGTCATAGTTAACGTTACCAAGCAAAAAAATCAGTTCAAAGTATGTACCCCTGTAGACGGATTGTTAAATCCAGAAAGCGCTTGTGTTAAATGAAATTTGGAAACTGTGCATTTTCTTTTTCTTTTATGATTATTTTTAATGTGTGACATCATCTTTTAACTACTTTTGAATTATATATATATATATATATATATATATATATATATATATATATATATATATATATATATATATATATATATATATATATATATATATATATATATATATATTACGTTTTGTTTGTAATAGTTTGTCTGTAGTTTAGAAATCTAGTAAAGGTATGGTAATTCAAATTCAATTTGATTGTTGGGAATACTAAAAATGTTTAAAACTGACATATGAATTTGAAGAATGTCCTCCTTAGAAAGGGAACTATAGGTATTAATTGGATTACAACTTTAGGAATTTTAGTCCAAGTTCCTTGAACATTCATTGCGAAATTTAACATCCGTGTGATATTTTTAATCTATTCCGAGAAAGTGTCAAGGTTTTCTTCCTTGTCTGGTCCATCGCCTGACGCAATCTTCGACAGAATTCGTAACATTATAAAATTTGACGCCAGGTCAAAGACCGGGGTTCCCTATATTTTTGCCCTATTAACGTAATTTAAGATCCTCCTTAAGAACTATAGTTGTAGGGTGAAGAAGAACATAAACAGGGTGATTATGTTTCATATGTTCGATATCTAGGCACCGAGGATTTTTTTATTTGGTAATTAAGAAGTTTGGAAGCAATATGGTGTGGATTTCAACTTGAAATATGGTAGAATACAGGACAGGACAACTTTGTGATTAAGAATATTACTAACATTTAATGCCTTTGTAATTCAATTCCTTTGTTGACAAATTTTAGTTTAAGGAACAGTATTCTCTTCCGTAAAATGTTGCGATTAAAAAAGGCTGTGATTTACAATATACATAACCACAGATTCCAGCCTGTAATATGGTGTTGAGAAATTCAAATATGGACCCTCATTGGTCTTTTAAAATAGACAATTGACAACTTAAGGGACAGAGTAAAGTTTAGTGCGGATATGATGAAGACCGAACTGTTTATTTACATAAGGTAGTAAGAATCAAAAGAGATATCTTGCATTATAAAAGGTTTGATGTAAGACTGAGTCCATGACTACGCTAACGTCTCTATGTATTGTTAAAAATTAACTCTCATCATGTTCACATTGCTACACTGTGGACCTGTGGACTTGAAAGATATCCTATACTTTCCCCATTGCCATTGCAACCATATGGCGAGGATCTACCTATTTTTCTAATCCAGTAATCCAGTATTCTAGTTGTCTACGAAAAGGTGTACTCAGTGATGAGTTATAAGTATATGGTAAATCTTTTCTAGAATTCTA